GGCTCTTCCATCATTGAGGATGGGGATATTTGTGGAGCCTCCTCCACCTCCTGTGAGTTACCTAATTGTCCACCACTATTCATGACTGGCTGTGGCAGCACTGGAGAGCCTAGATCTGATCCATTAGTTGTGGGATCACTTTGCTCCGTCTATCACTTGCTGCTTATACTGTTTGGTACCTACGTAGTCTTGTTTGGTAGATTCACCAGGATGACACCTCATCTTCAGGTATGCCTGGTGCTACTCCTGGCATGCCCTCCTGCTCTCTCCATTGAACCGGGGATTGATCCCCTGACTTGATGGTAATGCTCGAGTGGGGGATATGCCGGGCCATGAGGTTGCAGAATGTGCTGCAGTACAATTCTGCTGCTGTTGATGGTCCACAACACCACATGTCTGCCCAGTCCTGAGTTGCTCGATTTGGTTGAAGTCTGTCCATTTATCATGGTGATAGTGCCACACAACACGATGGAGGGTATTCTCAATGTGAAGGTGGGACTTTGTCTCCACGATGACTGCACAGTGCCGACTCTTACCAATTCTGCCTAACGTTCATGTAGCATGTACCTTGGGTCTCTTTCACATGTAACTGCGTGGGAATCTGTGTACTGCTGTTGCTCTTTGATGTGCCTCCTATCACGAGATTGAAGGCCCCTCTCTCACAGAAGAAAACATTTCACTCTCCTGGAGATAGCAAGAACCGTCGATGCTGGAGTCAGAGATAACACAGTGTGGAGCTGGAGGAACACAGCAGGCCAGGCAGCATCAGAGGAGCAGGAAAGTTGATGTTTTGGGTAGGGACCTCACATACCCACTCCATATTAGGTGGCAGCCGTTTTCATCTCCATTGCTTCCTTGTTATTTAGAGCATGATGAGTGGCAACAATGATTGCTTATCCAACATCTTAACATCGGTGAACTCCCAGATGTAGATATTCCCTTCTCTGTAGGCGTTCCCATCAACCCAAGTCCCAACCTAAATTGTTGATCTAAAGCTTTATCTGCCCACTTAAACCACCCCCAGCACCTGGCATATCAAAAAAACACAAGTAGCTAACCCTTGAATGTTGACCTGCATCCCCCCCACCTTCATTATCCCCACTGCACCCAGCTATTCTGGCTCCAATCCCCAATATTAGGTTGCCTAGTTTCCCTCCCACAGCAGTGGGGCTCTGATGATTGTCCTTGGTGTTTAGACACGACGCACTGTAGCCCACATATTGGAGGGACTTAGCCAGCCAGCTCCCTGTGATGGGAAATCAGAGCCCTGATATCTGTATGGTTCCAGACTCAGTTCCTCAGACTCCCTGGAAAGGTTGCACTGGACCCAGACCCATAGACTGACAGTGGCCCACACCCCAGACCCACAGGACTGACTGTGACCCATTCCCCAGACCCTCGGGGCTGATTGTGGCCCACTCCCCAGACTGGAGAGGTATGGTCCCCTATGAACCTGACTGCGCCAACCAGCTGATCACCTCATCCATGCCCCTGGACATATCAGAGGCTGCCCCTCACTGGGATCATCAGGTCCCTGGACTTGACTGAGGACTGAAACCTCTGAGACATTGAGACCTGACCATTAGCTGGAAGCTCATGCAGTATCTTTGGCACATGGTGCAGGTGTAACGCTGATAGAGCACAGTGCTATAATGCAGCCCCTTGACTGCTGACGGAGCTTTAAAGGCAGGGCCAGGAGCCAAAGCACAAAAGTTAAGGCAGGGATGCTGTGAAGTAGGTACAAACTGAGAGAGCATGCGAGCGAGCGAGCAGCCTTGTTCAATCCTTGAGTGTCCTTGCAGCAGCTTTGCAATGACAGCTGCTGGCATACACCAGAGAGCAGCATTAAAGTGCAGAAAAGTAGAGTAACTGGAGCGGCATGTACCATGATGATGTGGTGAGGTTGGTGTATGTAGCAGACCAATGTTTGTGTACGTGGAGTATACGATGCTGCTGTCTATTGAGTGTACCCATGAGATGTTGATGCCTGGCATCCATTGCGGAGTTTCAGAGGGGTTGGTAGCGAGCTGAAGTCACCAGATGCCCACTCAGATTTCCATGTTGACTTGTTCTTTGCCCCTAGTTTCACTCCAGTAGCTGGGAACATGAGGGAGTGTGAGAACATAATGAGGGTAATTATGAGTGATGTTCTCCATCGATACACCTCCTGCTGCCCACCAGCAAAAATCCTGTCTCATGTCCAGGGCTTAGTTGGAAAATGTGCCGTTTTGATCTCAAGGTTTGATATCCCACCCGACTTTCCCAAATTTCCTGCACATCATCTATGGCCTGGGAAGATTCTGCCCCTAGTAACTGAAACAGAGAACTCCGTGATGGCGATAATGCTAGGCTAGTGACCCACGCAGAATCCCAGCTACAAAGACTATGGACTACCTCTCCCATGCCCACAGCATGTTTCCCTGTGACTATCTCTCCATGTTCACGGCGTGTATGGAACATGTTGTTGTATCTCTGCCCCTGATCACACCAAGTTACTTGCTGTTGGGAGTTGCCAGTGAATTCTGCTCCCTCAGGTCTACAATGGTGGATAAACTGTCTCTTGACGCTCAAAAGAGCCCCCACCTGTGGCTTGCTGTCCAAGATGATGAAACAAGCAGTAAGTTGGAGTTGCTGAGATGAAAACATGCCTGAGATAACCTTGAGCTGAGCCTTAGGATGTTGCTGGTTGATAAGGTCTCAGCACCTTATTGGATGCCTGAGAACTATCAATGATCAATTGATGATCTGTCAAGGGAAGGTGTTTGGTGATTCCCATCTCTGCTGCCTGTGGCACACTAGTTGTGGTAGCCCCTTCAAAGGCAGAGCTACCAAAATGGTTAAGACTCAACTGATGGATTGGTTTCATTGGTTCAGGTACAATCCATGATGGAATACAGTCAGATACCCCAGAACTTTACTGTAGTCGGAGTCAGCAATCAGTAGGGTGCTTAAAACTTGAGGATGGCTGCAATTGTGACGTAAAGGCCTCAGACATCAATTAAAGATAAAATCATCATAATCCCAGAGAACCACAGCGTCACTCTCTCACTACAGAGAGAGAGTCATAGAGTCATACAGCACGGAATCTGACCCTTCAGTCAAACTAATCCTTGCTGAACATAATCCCAAACTAAACTAGTCCCACCTGCCTGCTCCTGGCCCATATCCCTGCAACCTTTCCTATTTGTGTACTTATCCAAATGTCTTTTAAATATTGTGGTTACACCCACATCCACCACTTTCTCAGCAAGCTCATTCCACACACAAACCATGCTCTGTGTAAAAAATTTGTCCCTCATGTCTTTTTTAAAATCTCTCTCCTCTCACCTTAATGTGCCCCCCTAGTCTTGAAATCCTCCATCCTAGGGAAAGGACAACTACCACTAACTCTATCTGTACCTCTCATTATTTTATAAACTTCTATATGGTCAAGAGAGAGACAGATGACTGTGGTGAGTTTATCCTGAAGGTCAGCTACATGTCAGGTGAGGACAGAAGTTGAGAAGGAGAGTCCTTGATGGTAAACTCAGCCAATGCAGGAATTGAACCTGAACTGTTGGCATCCTTGTATTGCAAACCAGCCATCCAGCTGACTGGCATTAATGATCACACCAGGGAATCAGTAGCTGATGGCAGAGGCAAAGACGTGGCCCATATCACCACAGTGACCAATGGCTACAGCAACTTGGCAATCAACATCAACACGCCAGAATGGTACTCGGTAACTTCACATGGGGACCTGCCTACTAAGGCCTGACTCACAGCATCAACAGCAATGTAGAATATTAGACTCATAGAATGCCTACAGGGTGGAAACAGGCCCTTCAACCAAACAAGTCCACACCGACCCTTGGAGCATCCCACCCAGACCCATTCCCCCATAACCCCCATATTCTGGAACACTACGGACAATTTCCCACAGCCAATCCAGCTGCACATCTTTGGACTGCGGGAGGAAACCGGAACACCCAGAGGAAACTCACGCAGACACGGGGAGAATATGCAAACTCCACACAGACAGTTGCCCGAGGGTGGAATCAAACCCGTACCCCTGGCCTTGTGAGGCAGCAGTGCTAACCACTGAGCCATCGTGCCACCCAGGATATAGGGCATAGAGAAATCGCACTCAAAATGGATTGTTTTCTGAGTTCATTATCTATCTGAAACGGACTGATGTCAATGAAAACAAAGGCAATATGCACCCCTTGTCCACAAGGAAGCCAATAGAAATCAATTTGCAGAATGGCTGCTTGATATCAGTTGTATTGTGTAAATATGAACTGTAATTGTCAGTGAAGGGAAGATCTCAGAGTATCACAAACTGTAGTACAAAAAACTCAGCTGTACTGCACGTTATATAACTTTGAACAATTATATTGTATACTTTTATAACTTTATAACAAGGTCTTTATTTTTTGAAGATTTGTTCATGGGGTAGATAGAAAATCCGTCACCACAATTGCACTTTTTATATTCACCACCAGGGGTCCTTGAAGCCAAATTATGAATTTATTGTGAACCGACTTGGGGTAGTTTTGGCCTCCTTTCCTATATTGTATACTTTAAACGATTTTTAAAAAGCTGGATTTTTATAGCCCCTTTCACAGCATAAGAATGTACCAAAATGCTTTAAAGCCAATAAATTACTCTTGTGTCCAGACACTGGTGTGGGAAACGAGCAACCAATTGGAGTTTTTCCTTTATTCATTTATGGGATGAGGGTGTCACTGGCTAGGCAGCATTTATTGCCCAGACGACATTCAGGAGTCAACCACATTTATGTGGGTCTGGAACCATATGTAGACTAGACCAGGTGACATTAGTGAACCAGATGTTTTTTTTCCCCCTTGACAATCAACAATAGATTCACAGTCATCATCAGATTCTTAATTCCAGATATTTCATTGAACTCAAATTCCACCATCTGCCATGGCAGGATTTGAACCTGGGTACCCAGAATATTACTTGGGTCACTCAATTAACAGTCCAGTGATAATGCACTATGCCATTGCCTCCCTCTCGAGCACGGCAAGCTCCCACAAGCAGCCTTTGCTGGTGGCTAGATGGTCTATTTTGATGCTATTGAGAAACAGTAAGTAAGAATCTGAGCGAAACTGTGAATGAGAAACTGAGTAAGAAAGTGTCAGTAGGAAACTGAGAGTTGGAAACGGTGAATGAGAAACTGAGTGAACTGAGGCAGCAGCAAAGTGACCATCCCCAAGACTGATGACGAGGGCACAGGAGAGGCAGTTTGCTGGTCTTTGTCTCAATGGGCCATCTACACAGTCCCAGTTTTGAGCACATTAACAAAGCATGAATAGTTGCTTGGTCAAACAGAACATGAATATTGATGAAACAGAGGCATGTTACTGAAACATCTGAACAGAAGTCTATTATATAAATGAAATGAAGATAAATAGAAAGATCCAAACTATGTACATATTTTAAATCATGGTAAAATATAATCCCATTGATCCCAACAGCACTCCTTTACAGTATGCAAACACCAGAGAGATTCCCTTCTCTATCATGTCTATAAGTACTTTAACTGTTGTTTTCCATTCCCATGCTTGAGTGTTTGATTGCCTGTTCCTCAAATATTCACCTTACTGAGCTTAGACTTTCTCAGCTTCAAATAACTCCTTCAAGGTTCTAACCATCCATTTCTGGTCTAGGACTTTCAAACTATATTTCTTATACTGAGGTAGCATATTTCAGAACAATTCTAAGCTACCTCTTTTCTTCTGGGGAAACCATTTTACATGCATAACTTCCACCAGGACTTTGGCACGCTGAAAGGCTTTTCAAGCTCTGGGTGTTTCATCCCAGCAGAAACAAAGTCAATTCCTGATCCTTGTAACTGAAAGCAAACTAGTGATCCCCAATGTTTGCTCTGTTCACTCATAAAACTCTCCCAATGCAGACAAATTCCCATTACCACTCCAGGAAACCTCTCTCTCTTACTGGCTTTAAAAAAATTGTGACTAGAAAATATTGATAACATCATTATACCATTCAATCACAGTCCAATACCCACATGCCACTAATTCAAAATCCAATCTGTAGAATAAATCAGATTAAAATAAAGATACAAATCGTACATCTTAGATCACAATGTCATGAATACTTAGAGTGGTCTATTACACCACAACAGTGACTACACTTCAAAGGGTTTTCAATATTTGTTAAGTCCTTTGGAATATCCTGAGATCATGAAAGACTTCCAATAAAAGCAACTTTGTTTGTCCTATCAGGGGCTTCAAGCTGAGTCAACAAGATAAATGAGGAAGGTTGAAGGAGACATTCATCATGATGGGATGTCAAGGAACTAAGAATAGGTACCAGAAACCTCAGAGCCAACATGAATCAGAAACTGGAATTAACCCCTGACTTAAGGCCTTCTCTAATTGTGGAGACTCACAAGCTGATCTTTGGTGTTTTAGTATGGGCTTGATAGATCTTCATACAAACTCAGGCCAGACTTCACTTTTAAACAATGTTCATTTAAAATCTGAGATAACACAATGTGGAGCTGGATGAACACAGCAGGCCAGGCAGCATCAGAGGGGCAGGAAAGCTGACGTTTCGGGTTGGGACCCTTCTTCAGAAAAAAACTCCAGCATTGGCAGTTCTAACTATCTCTCATTTAAAATCTGTACATTTTTAAGAATTGATGGGATTGGATGTCGCTGGCTTGTCCAACATTGATTGACCATCCCTAATTGTCCTTGAGAAGGTGATGGTGAGCGGCCTTCTTGAACCACTGCAATCCATGTGGGGAATAGGGACACCCCAGTGCTGTTATGGAAGGAGTTCCAAGCTTTTGACAGTGAAAGAACAGATATATGTTTCCAAGTCAGACATTGGAAAATGCATTAAATAAAAATAACGTGTTTGGATTGTGATACAATTCCAGGTATGCAGGACTGAGTGAGATCTCATCTCTCAGGATGATGTAATGTTTTCTTCACAATACATCCTGTCATTTTGGTAAACATTTACTTCAGATCTTTTCTTTTAACTTCTGGTTCTGTTTTGCTGATTAGAACACGTCTGTTGCTTCCCCTTGTTGCTTTGTTCCCTCATCGGAAACATCCTTCCTGAGTTTGATCTGTCACAATGAAACATGTAACTTTGTCTCACACACTGCATAGTCAGTTCGACCATCTGCTTGGGATGAGACACTTTGTGGAATAGCTTAGAAAAAGGCTTGTCTGATATGGTGGTGATAGTCTTGCCTCCCAATCAGTAGGTCATGGGTTCAATTCCTGCTTCAGGTGAGCCTAAACCTAGACTGACCCACAAGGGCAGTACTGAGGGTATGCTACATTGCCAGAGATACTGGCCCTTGGTTGAGATCTCAAACTGAGGCTTTGTCTGTTCTCACAGGTGGATGCAAAATATTCCCAGCAAAGCATTTGTAATTCCTCCCTGGCACATATTTAGGTCTCAACCCACTCTGAACAAAAGAATATCTTGTCATTATCTAATTGCTATTTGTGAGATCTTGCTGTGTGCACTTTGCTACTGTGTTTTCTACATTCTAACACTGACTTCACTTCATAAAGCACTTCATTGGCTGCAAAGTGTCATCAAAAGCACTATATAAATGTAGAGCTTGCACTGACAGCGCACTACACACCTGGAGGACCATCTTTTGGATGAGATGTTTAACTGAAACACCGTCTTCCCTCACAAGTGGTCATCAAAGATCTCTTGACACAATTTTTAAGTTTGCGGATGACGTGAAAATAATGGGGAGGAAGGTTTCAGGCTCCAGGATGCTCTAGGTGGCTGGTCAGAAGGCAACGGCAGTGGCAAATGGAATTTAACCCTGAAAACTGTGAGGTGATGTATTCTGGTAGGACTAACAAGGCAAGGGAGTACATGATGTTTTTTGGAGGGGTATGATTTTGTGAGCATGACCAAGTCAGGTTGCTGTTCAATTAATTTGTGAGGCACTTCTTCCAATTCTAGCACAAGCCCCCAGATGTTAGTGAGGAGGACTTTGCAAGCTGAGTGTATCATTGTCACTCCCAGTGCGCAGGTTGGTGATGATTGCTCCAGCTGGTTCCATGCTTTTTGAGGCGTTTTAGTATTTTTTTATTTCAAAAATATACTTTATTCATCAGAAAGTCTATATACATACATAGTCACTAAAGCAGTTTGGTTCTATACAGTAGCATTTGAAGAAAACAAACATTGGCATTTGACTCTATCCAACAAACAAATCTAAGGCATTTCTTAGAGATAGTAGGAACTGCTGATGCTGGAGTCTGAGATAACAAGGTGTAAAGCTTGATGAACACAGCAGGCCAAGCAGCATCAGAAGAGCAGGAAAGCTGACATTTCAGGTTGGGACCCTTCATTTCTGAAGAAGGGTTCAGACCCGAAACGTCAGCTTTCCTTCTCCTCTGATGCTGCCTGGCCTGCTGTGTTCATCCAGCTCTACACCTTGTTATCTAAGGCATTTCTTACTTGTGTAAGATTATATTTACATATATTTCAGGCACCTGGAAGGTCCAATAACTGAACGAATCCCCATTTAACTTCGGCTGAAAGGCGACAGACAGTGCCCCACTGTGCCTTGGCAGCACCTGCCCCAAGCTTTAGTGCGTCCCTCAGCATGTTGTCCTTGACTCTGGAATATGCCAGTTTGCAACACTCAGTCGGAGTCAACCCCATGCTCTGAAAGACCAACAGATTTCGGGCAGACCAAAGAGTTGTTTTCACTGAGTTGATGGTCCTCCAGGCGCAGCTGATGTTTGTCTTGGTGTGCATCCCTGGGAACAGAGTGTAGAGCACAGAGTTCTGCATCACGGAGTTGCTAGGGATGAACTTCGACACAAACCACTGCATCTTTCCCCAGATTACCTTTGCAGAAGCACATTCCAGCAGGAGGGGTGTGACAGACTGTACACCACCTCCCCACCCACCCACCATCGGCCCCCTGCAGTTTCGGGCAGACAAAAGAGCATCTTTCACTGAGTTGACGGCCCTCCAGGTGCAGTGGTCATTGTACAAGGATGCCATGCTTGGCCATCTCAAAGGGCAGTTAGCTGTCAACCACATTGTTGTGGATCTGGAATCACAGCAGATTTCCTTCCCTAAAATTAACCACATAGTTTTTATAAAAAGAAATGAACTTTTAATTTAATGTCCTAAATTCGCCCGTTCGCTGTGGTAGTATTCAAACACAGGTCTGCAGAGTATTATCTGCGTCTCAGAATTGATAAGCCCAGCAACAACAACACCACCAAACCTGCACACCTGGAATTATGATAGTAAAATGTAGGGTATGCAGGGTAGTTTGATCATAGAGTAGGATAATAAGTCGGCATAACATTGTGGGCCGAAGGGCTTGTACTGTGCTGGACTGCTCTATGTTCTATGTTCAAACCATTGCTTCCCTGTTTCAGGGCCATTTCATATCTCGAAGAGTTTTCCAGCCAATAAAGTACATTGTTTTTGCAGTTGGTTCACTGTTGTAGTACAGGAAACAAAACAACTAATTTCACATCGGCAAGCTCCACAATCATCAATGTAACAATGATCATCAAACATCTCTTACATTGTTGATTGAAGGATAGCTACTGTCCCAGTTGTGTGCAGTGGTAGTGTCCATACCCCTGAACCAGACAGCCTGGGTTCAAGTCCTATCTGCCCTAGAGCTATGTCCTAGCACCTCCGATCAGGTTGATTAGGCAAATGTTGAGATACTGGCCTGGACACGGGGATAATACCTTCTCATAATTGTGCTGCAGAATTTTTTACAGGAAGGATATTCCTTACGGTGGGGGAGTCCAGGACCAGGGGTCATGATTTACGGATAAGGGAGATCCATTTTTGGACTGAGCTTAGGAGAAATTCCTTTACCCAGAGATTGGCGAATCTGTGGAATTCACTACCAGAGAAAGTGGTTGAGGCTAAAACATTATGTATTTGCATGAAGGAAGTTGATATAGTTCTTATGGCTAAAGGGATCACGGTATATGGGGACAGTGGGATTACGGTAATGAGCTCAATGATCAGCCATGATCGTATTGAATGGTGGAGCAGGCTTAAGGGGCCGAATGGCCTACTCCTGCTCCTATTTTTCTAATTTTCTATGTCA